CTCGACATTGGCCTTTCCCAGTCCAGATACTGAGAGAATAAGGTGGCCACTGTTCCCCAGACAGCTATAGTTCAGCATTAGGTAAATTATCATCTGGAAAAGAGCCTCTAAAATTATGTATTATTATACCGTAATGGAGTTCCTATTTATTACATTCTGAATTCTGAGTGCCCACAATTAAATTAATGGAAACAAATGGCATGTGGCCACAAACACAATTATGTCAGTTAAAACAGCTGAGATTATTAGGCTCAAAAGAAAAATCACTTTATAGCCAAATTAATCAACTTTACATCTCATAAGGCGTCAGATTAATTGTGTTAAGAAACAAAGACCAGTCCTGTGATCTAAACAAGTTGCTTACCAGTTTCCCAAATAATCAAGAGCTGCATTCCATAAGAGCTTATACAAGCCTTGGGCTAAAGAAATCCTGGGGCTGGGTATGTGTACGAGCCGGGGGAGATAGAATTGTTTGTCCCCAGAGCCATGGCTCACTACAGAGTCACATGCATGTCTTATGTGGAAAAAGAAACAGTCAGAGCCAAAAGCAGCTCAACCTGAAGTCGACTTCAAAGTCTGGGCTTTCTTCCGTCACAACACTGGGCCTGTAATAGCATTAAGTATTGACTCGGTTGCACAAAGGTGTGACTTAACACTAAACAGCCTTTGACTGGTATAAACAAAAGTTACTTTTTTACAACTAAACGTATATATAAAATATTGCTTCTAGTCCTAAAACAAATTTGATATAGCCATGTATACAAATAATATTTTCAAAAATAAATGTAACTGAGCAAGAAGACATACATTCCTAATTGCGCTAATCGTTTTCAGCGTATAAGATCAGGTTTAATAAATAGTACTGCACAGGTTTGTTTGTCGACTCACCCCTCTGGCGCTCACTACTAGCCCACGCTGACAGAGTGGAGTGTAACTGTACCACAGCAGCTGCTGTGCAGGAGAATCTCTATGGGATTTGGTTATGGTGAATGTTGATAGCTGTGTCTCTGTTGCCTCTTAGTGTTTAGCCTAAAATAGCTCTGTAATTTAGAAGTTCCGTGTCCGTGTAGGAGACGTCTGCACAGTGCAATGCAATGGCCACATGAACAGTATAAAGGTCTGACATGGCCAGCTCCTCAGCATGACTGTGTTAAAACCACACTGCAGGCACACATCCAGTCTGCACTAACAGCTGCACTCAGAAAGAGGGTGCCCATCTTTATCTCACTCTATACCCATCTCACTCTGTTAAGACAGCACCTGTCTGTTAGGGTACATGAGAATTTAAGGGCCAACTGAAATCGAGAAGCTCCTAATGCCTGTTCATTGTCCTCTCTGCCAGAAACAAACACATAGTCACCATGCAAACATTTATGTATACATTATGATCTCTGGGTATTATGCAAGTTCTTTACACTTGAAGTACGTCCAAACAGAACAGAATGGTAATATTCCATTTGGTTAAAACATGGATAATGGTTTCAATAGCAAGTCATTTGATTAACCTATTCTATAACAATTACATTTTTGGTTATGACAATGACAATGACCAAAAAATGCAACACACATGCCAATTAACGTCACTTACACAGCATAGAGCTCTCATGTTGCACCCTTTGCTCAGAAGGTGAAGACTCGTCTCTTATATCAAGCGATGATAATATTAATAATCGTGACATTTCCATCCGAGATTATTGAGTGGAGGAGGGGATAGCAATTCTTATGAAGTCTTAAATTAAAATGGGCTTCTCTAAAAACTTAACACAAGCCTGCAGTTGACAGATTGTATATAATAAGTAGCGTTTTCTGGCCTGATTGTTTTTGCATATACAATTACGCATAGAGTTTATCTTTGGGGGAAGGTTAAATAAACAGTCAGTGTCAAAGGCTGTGGTAAAAACACATACGATTATCTGAGTCCTTTCCTTCCTTGCCTTCTGCATGACCAAGCGATTTTTGTCAGGAATGTGAAGACACTGTACTCAGCTGTTTACTTATTCATTTGTCTCATACACATTGTTGTTGTGACAAATCAGTTTACAATAAGTCTCTTACGTATTTCCGCGACATAAAGGGAAACAATGCATTGGTCAATATGTTCAACAGAATCAAAGCACTACCTCACCACCGCAGGGGGCCTATACTACAAAGAGGAAGTTCAATCGCACTGGAATTTTGTCAGATTATATTTTTCTAAGATTTCACAAGGTCTGTTTGAAACATACCTACAGGGTCAGACAAACATCACAGATTCCACTATTATGAGTCCTTGGGTCAGTCCATTTTATTCGATAAGAATGTCTCGCTGGCATGTTCCACTTAGATGTAATCACATTTGATAAACTCTTTATCCCATGTCTCCGCTTTACATCACAGAAGCATTTTTCATAATATCTCATAACTCCAAGTGCACAAGACATGGATATTGATGCACATTCCTCTTCTTTCCGGTAGGCCTAATATATTTACAAGAGAGACAGGCTAGGACTACAAAATTGAGTTGCACTGGAGTCATGTCCTATTTTGGTGATGGTTGCTAAGCAAATTAAAGCAATATATTTGGACTTATAGTAGCATCACATTACATTGGGATGTTAATGATTCTTTCAAATAGGTCAAGTCACCCATCGTGGGGCATAGAATAACCATTAAGTGAAGATATTGAAGGCAAGCACAGGTGGAACAAATGGCCTAACAATAGCAAAGAAGCATGCCAGCAATTTATAAGAACGCAATATAGTTATGATTAGAGTTATAGTAGCACCTGTGTTTTGGGGTAATATTTTACAAACAGTTCATGGGAGCATTAAAGCAGGTTCTAATATAAGATAGGCTATATATTGAGGTTGTCAGTGGCTATTTTAAAAAGAATTCTGTGTAAATTATAAACCAATTTCATCTCAGTGACTATCACATTTGGGCAAGGTTAAACTTTAAGGTATGCATGAGCCACATAGACACATCTTTAAAAGGTATAGGTTACAAGTTATAGGCCAAAATAGAGATAGAGAAGATATAATATGAAAAACTCCCTTCTTCTTCATCTGTCTGTTGAATGCCCGGTTGAATTATCCTTAGAACTGAAGACAACTATTAATTATGAGCAGTCTGTTCAGTCCGAATTTGAGCATGATCATCACATGTTACACGGTAGTCTGAGAAGAAACCGCTATCTATGATCATGTCTGTATTAAAATGATTTTTCGAATAAATACACACACTTAAAAACAAAGGTAAACCACATTAGTTAAAATAGTAAAACAGTATTATTGATGATATTACCTGATGAAAAGCTAAAACCGTAGTGTAGTCATCCCCTGGCAGTGACACTCACGTATGTGGCAGTGGTGGCAGCAGCAGCAGCAGCAGCGGTGGAGTTATCTCTGTGCGCGCCGCCTCTGTCCGCTCCTTTAGGGAAGAAAAAAATAACACTTATCATCAACCGAGCCAAGATCACGACCTCCGGAGAAAGCCTGCCAAGGTCTGAGCGAGGCCAGACCCTTTACATCCGCGGACAAATGGGACTTATTTACTCACCGGCTCCTCTACTCGTTGAATGACTGCCTCTTTCGGGTTAATAAACAACGTGAAAGTGCGAAAACATAGTCACTTCCGGTAAACATTGACATTAAAAGCATACAAGATTTCTTTTGAACATGAGGTTGAGTCGTTTGGCCTTTGTTTCGTGGTGATAGTTGACTCTTTATTCTTTTATAACACAATAAACTCAAACATGACATCATCATTAGGTAATTTTGCATTCAAACAACGAATATATGACATTATTTTCTTATTGCGGACCATGTGTTTCCGGTGTATAGTGGTCCTCGTCGTCTCCTCAGCTTGACCTGAAGTTGACACTTGTTTCCAGGCGGCCCAGCCCCACCATGTCCCTGACTCAAAACCGTCCCACTGCGCCTGCGTGTTTAATATCGAAATGAATCATCGTGAATAAAATATTCTCATTCTTACATTCTAACTTTACGCCACGGAAAAAAGAAACAAGGCCGAGTTTTAGAGAACAGTTATTATTATTTTTTGTTAGTCCACCTTGGCCAAGTAATAAAATAAGCTTCAGAAAACCACACATCCAGACATAGGAAATTACTTTTTATTCAAGGCAAGCATGTGGAAGTGGAAGTTTTTACTGTACAGTAAATATGTACTGCATCCTGATCTGTATCATACATCCTGTGATCTGGAACCATTATCAAAGGTGCACTGTGTGTAACTTTCCTTGTGAAAAAAAAAACAAAAAAACAAAAAAAAAAACTTGTTTCCGTGGAGATGTTATTGCTTTGCTCCAAAGGTGTCATAGTATGGCTTTGAATTACTTTGTGTTGCATTTATTCAATTACAAGTGTTTTACTGCTCAAAAATACCACAAAAAAGGTGCATTAACCTACAGTGAATGAGCTACCACTCCACTTGAAACATGGCCTGTAGGCAATGTAGGCTTGTCCCCATGGAAATAGATAAGTTTAATGCTGTACATTGGACATTCCATGAAGACGAGGACATGGCCAGAAAACACCAGAAAGTTACACAGTGCACCTTTAAGCATAAGACCATAGATCAGGGGTCTCCAAACTTTTTTCATCAAGGGCTACATATCTAAACACAGCGAAGCAGAGGGCTGATTGAGGGCTGTAGACTGGTGCTCAGTACAGTGAATAATTGAAATATGTGCATGTTTAACATGTTAGAATGAACCATCAGTCTTTATTCATTCTAAGCTCCTTAAAACCACACACTAAATATTACATATTAGGTTTGTCAAGGTAGATTTTCCAAAAAAAACTTGCAGTAAAAAGTTAATTTTTAATTGATGCGAGGTAATTTGGGCCAATTCACCTGGAAGCCTGAGGGCCAAGAAAAATTTGTCTGAAGGCCGCATTTGGCCCACGGGCCATAGTTTGGACAAACCTGTCATAGATCCATGCATAAGACGAGTAGAAAAAGCGAAAGTACGACCCCTGCTGTTATATTGCTGTAACTGCAGAATGTGTGGTTATCCCTGGGTGCACCTGTCAAACGTTTTAACTTAACTAATCATTACTTATTATCTCATTTATGTAGACGATGTTGTTGATGAATTGAGGATGTCTAGACGGCTCTTGCCACGGTGCGCTCTTGATTGATCTGGACATGCGCAGCTCGCTGTTGTTGATCTGCTTGTTGGTTCAGGAAAGGGGGAGAGGTCAGTGTTGTTAGCTGCTTGACTTCTCCGCAGAAAAACTAAGTTGTTAATTCCAATGAAACAGACTTCCTTGTCTATTTATTAATCGTTTCAACACCGCCATGAGTACCAATGACTCCCCGGTAAGGATCAGCATGCAACTTCACTTTTAAAACGGATGTATTTGACAAGATCTTAGCTCTTAGCTCAGCAGGCTAGCCGCAATGCTAGCACCGTGTGTTGTTGACAGTGTACGGTTCTCACACTTGCAAAGACTGCCTTAACTAACACATTATACCTCTAAAATTGCCAACAGTTCTTTTTGTTTCACTTGGATCACAATAATAACATTGTCAATTGTGTCTACAATGCGACGTAGGCTTGTTAAGATGGCTGTAAACTTTGCACTCAGATACAATGAAATATAGAGATTTTAAATGTAGCTGTAAATGTGTCTCTGTCATAGTCTTCAGCTTTAACCTGCACCCCATATTAATTAAGATGTTGGATCTTTTCATTCATTCATTCATTTAGTTGATGAACGAAAATAATACTAATTGTTATTAAATTTCAGACGATTGGGGATTTTTTCCTCATTCTCAGTGAGATGGGCTTCACCGAAGAGCAGATTCAAGCAGCAGTTCAGGCAGGACATTTGTCTGTGCCAGAGGCGGCTGAGTGGTAAGATGTTCATATCTCATGTATATATAGACTTTTGAAAAAAATAAACAATTATTCCATCACTCTTATTGACAGGCTCCTACAGGGTCAGTCACCAAGACACAGGTTAACACAGCAGCCGTCACGACCTGCTGAAACAGCATTCTCTGCATTTAATCCCCCCAAACAAGTGGCAGGCATCCTTACATCTCCCAGTGACAGTAGTGGTAAGATTTTGAGCCAGTCTCTGATGAAGTCTCAAATCTTCAATGTTTAGTAAAAAATAATAATCAATGATTTTATCTTAGCATGCCCCTCACTGGTGCTGAAATCATCACAATCTTGCAACTTGTCCCCGGAACCACCACAAATTGAGTCCCGCATAAAACAGGACAGTGACTTTGAAGAACAACAGAGACAACGTTTTGCACAGGAGGCCAGAGAACAACGAAGGCAAAAGAAGCAGGTCAGAACTAAAGACGTACTGTACGTTTTTAAGTTACTTAGAGGCACTCATGATATCTTTTATGATTTGTGTCAGGACCGTGAATTAGTCTTGAAAAGAATAGCAGAGGACCGAAGGACATTACAGGTGAAGAATCAAACCAGCCCTGTGTCAGAGGCACCCCTGAGTACTAGCGAAGGTCAGAAACTGGGTGAAAAAAATTCAGAAAACTGCATTCTTATGGTAAGATTGACAAATGAATATTTTTTTTTACTCTTTCATAATTATAATGTGTTTAATAATTTTCTTCAGATTCGACTGCCCTCTGGTGAGTCGATGCGTGAACGGTTCCCTGCAGATGCTCCTTTACGCAGCGTTGTTGAACATATCAGCGGACGCCACCCCTCCCTCACCTCCTTCTCACTTCTTCAGGGATTCCCGCGGAAACGCTTTGGGGAGGCAGAACTTGCTTGCTCCTTGCATTCTCTTGGCCTCACTCCTAGTGCTGCACTTTGTATTCAGACCACACCCCCAGAAACACCTCAGGAGCCCCCCTGCTCTGTCAATCCAGCAGCAGCAGAGCAGGAGAACTCCCCATCTGTTGAGCCCTCACTGCCCCAAATCCATGATCATGACAGGCACCCGGATCCTGCTCTGCCTCCTCTATTGCCAAATCAGCTTTGGGAAGAAGCCGTGAACTATGCAGGGATTCCTGACATGGGCCATTTACTTTCTGGTCCTTCACACAGTTGGGGTAAATTCTTTGTACTGTAAAATACTTTTTTAATGTAAGCAGAATATTCTTCTTTCAATTCTTTCAATTCAGTTCTTTACAAGAAATTGCTGTAATTACTTTTGTTTAGGACGAGGCCAAAGGTTGGTTCCAGGAGATGCTGGTGAAGCTGAAGAAGCAGAGATTGATGTGGATCAAGAAGGAGAAAGAGAGCCATATGACATGCTGAATGGTACTACATCTAGAGTTATATGTGCAACTCTGCTCTCATTTCACTCCTGAGTCATGATCACACTGTACATTATTACATAATCTGTGTACAGACCACTGTGCTGAGTGATTTATAAGACATGTAAAACTGATTAGGCTTAGGCCATATTAAGGTGAATGCCCCTTTCTGTTATACATACAGAACAAGGGGTCAGCTTTTCTAGTGTGTGCAGAAAAAAGGAGCTTTTATATTCGGTTAACCAACATGTGGCGTTTCAATATTGTGTGTGAGGCTACTGCTCACTTCTAGTAGAGCTGTAAGTTGCCATGAAGCAAGATGATTTCTCTAGAGGTGATTCGAGGTGTGGAGCAAATTTTTTAACTATTTTCAGTAGCCAGCCTGCAAAGCTTTTAGGGAGTTGCTGTTTAGTATGAATATGTGTATGATAAATATTGTAAACTACAAACTTGTGCTTGGATATTTCCTCAGGATGGCCAAGGTTGCCTTTTTTCCCAGAAAATAGAGTTCATGGAGGATTTGAGCCTAGACATCACTGGCCAGAGCAAGGCAATCGTCTCAGGTGAGTGGCTGGACTAAAACAAAATTTGTCTGCAAAATGTTTCTATTCTAATTTCTATGATGTAGTATACAGTAATATGCTATGCCTGCTTCCGTGTCTCTATAACCAAAATTCCTTTCTAATTAGATTAACTGCTTACAACAGTAAGAAATATTGTTTTGCTATGTACAATATAATTTTGGTACTTGTGGTTGGTTGTAGATGGATACATTTTTTTAATACTTTATGAGCAAAGCAACAAGCTTTACAGACCAAATCTTAAACAAACTAGCTTTTGCAAATGTTGAATCATTCTTACAGTGTAGTATGTGTATGTTAAAGGGAGGAGCCCCTGGAACAGGCTGTGCAAGGCCCAGTGGCACCTGTAGCAGCAGGTCAGGCTGCAGTGGAGCGACTTCAGCGTGCAGCTCAACAGAATGATGCACACGTCTCTCAGGGGTTGCCATCACCCCCTAAACGGCCATTTAAAACCCCCAGTGTGCAGTCACTGTGTGCCTTGGCTGCCCGAGCTGCTGTCAGCGTTATGACTGGTACTATCTGTTGGATATAACACATTAACATGTACATACTGTATATTTGACTCACACCTTTTCCTTCAACTTCTAAAGCTCCCAGTATGCAGTACAGCAGCAGTCTGGCAGGGCTCACCCCAGAGTTGGCAGAACTTCTGCTTGAGCACATGTCTCGTGAGCGACTCTTGCGTCCACGTACTCTGGAGCTATTTTTTGGTTGTCCATTGCAGAAGTTTGTACTTAACTGTTACCCTTACTCAACAAATGAGCTTCTGCGACAGCTGCGAGCTTTCACCGCTTTGAAACATCTCAGTCTGATCAACTCTCCACTCATCACTGGTAAGTGCTTCATTTTAACAAAAGCTTGTTGCTTGTTTGTATAATAGTATCTTATATTTATATCTTGTAGACTCTGGATTATCTATTCTGCCTAGCCTGATCAAGCTGCAATATCTCAACCTAGCTTCATGTAGCAAACTGACTGATGCCTGTCTGCAGCATATCACAGGTTAATTTTTTTGCCTTATTTTTTGTCCTTGGGTAAATGTCCATATTGTTCTGTTTTTACTGTTCTCTACCCTCACATTAATATATATTTCTATACAAACGTGGGGATTTTTCTGTTCTCTTAAAGGTTTAAAGAGCTTGTGTTTCCTGTCTTTGGACCACACCAAAGTAACAGATAGTGGAATGGTGCTTTACCTTCAGTCAGCTCCCTCTAGTCTGTCTCAGCTCAGCCTTAATCAAACTGCTGTTACTGAGCTCACTCTGGAAGCGCTGACTTCATTTGTGCCTCAGCTGCGAGTCTTGAGCATTAAACAGACAAAGGTGAGGACTTTTTTCAGATAAACTCAATTATTTGTGTTGATCTTTCTGATGCTGTTTGTTATGTTTCCAGGTTAGTCAAGTGACTGCTCTGTCACAAATGTGTCATCTTCAGACACTCAGTCTGGATGGCACTGGTGTGACAGAGACATCACTGGAGAACCTTAGGAACCATCCCTCTCTCTCTTCCCTCAGTTTGAAAGGGATCCGGGTAGTGGATGGGGATCAAACTTTGCAAATCATCTCAGGTTTGTAGATTTAGTTTTAAGGCAACGCAAATGTAGAGTAATTGTAATATATGTGATTTTATTTGTAGGTCTAAAGCTGACCCAGCTAACTCTCCCTGGGCGACACTTTGTGACTGACAGTGGGATGTCTGCTCTGTCCAGCCTGACTCTGCTCTGTGAGCTTGACCTGACGGACTACACCCATGTAACAGACCAAGGAGTTCGCCATCTCTGCACTTTGAATAGGTCCCTTTTTTCTCTTTTAAACTTGATGTGGCCTCTAATAATGGGTTTTACTTTTGTGAAGAGTTTTAAATGTATGTTCATTCATTGTTAGGTTGAGAAATCTGTCGCTTAGTAATACTCAGGTGTCAGATGCAGGTCTTCCCTTTCTGCAAGGCCTGCAAGAGTTGCAGGATTTGTGTTTGGACCGAACAGCAGTCACCAGCCGAGGAGTAGCAGACCTAATAGTCCATTTACCACACCTTCAGGTGATTGATTCTTGATTTTCAGTGAATTTGACTTTTTGGTATTTTCTGACATGTTATTGTTTGTTTAGGTACTGGGTTTAGCTAGCACACAAGTTGGAGACAATGTGGTCAGAAGGGGTCTCATTCGCTGTAATCAGCTGGTAAAGATCAATTTGAGCCGCACAAGAATCACAGACCAAGGTATTGTGCCTCAGTCATGTTCTTAGCTGTTTGTAATACATTATTTTCATGTCTTCATGATTTTTTTTTTCATTTCAGGGCTGAAGTTTCTGAAACGCATGCATCTTGCTCAGGTGAATTTGGATGGGACTGGTGTGACTCTCTCTGGAATTGCAGACCTCCTCTCTCTCACCAACATCAGCCGTATTCGAGCAAGCAACATGCGTGTCATTCCACCAGATGAGGTCTCTGATGAGGAGTATGAAACCAACTAAAGATGCCTTGTTTATATAATATAATATAATATCTGAAACTCAGAGCAGTCCTTGCACTCATTCTAGTCAGCTTGTACTATCATACACACCACCAGAAGGTGGAGTGGGGGTGGAGTCTTGCACTGTTTTATACAATTACTCAGTTTACATAGATTGTATGTAATGCTTCCTGGTGAACTTACATAAATTTATTTTGTAAAATGAATCAGATTTAGTGAGTTTAACAAGTTAATTTGCTATTTACATTTTAGTAATGAACTCTAATCCTTTTACGTTTTGAGTCTTTCAGAAAAAAAAAGTATTGTAATCTCAGCAGATTACCATGTAAATGTTCATACAGAAAGTATCTGTAATAGACTTTACATTTTGTAGTCGTGTTGCAGCCGTTTTAGAGCTGCTCTGGTTTCCCCCTGCGTGATGAGTTTTGCACTACTTGCATTTAGTTTAATTCTTTTAGTCTAATATTATGCTGAAGTGCTCAAACTATGCAGTTGATGTCAAGATAATCCAAAGGAACTGTAATTGTTGGCAACCATAAAAAATAAAAAATTAGACTGGTTGTTCTTTTCACTTGAATTATGACCCAATAGTAAGCCAAATGAGACAGAATTTCAGACAAACCTTTTATTGCATTACATGTTAAATAAGGCGTATTTGCGCTTTTATTTTTTACACAAAGTCAACTTTTAAATATCATAAAACATGACCTAAAAGCTGATTCATACATGGGATAAAATAAATGGAAAAAATAAAATATTATGAAGACAGCACTATACACTGCATTCCATATGTACCCCGATATTTGATAATTGACCAATTGAGTGTAACCTGGAATGAAAGGACAAGATTCAGCACAGTGAAGTACTGCTCAACAATTATTCAACAGGAAGTGTCCAAATAGATGCATAAAAGATGTTTATTCAAGACAAATGAGTCTAGGTTTAACCCAGATGAAAGCCAAGACTTCAGATATCATGCGCTTGTTGTTTCTCAATCTTTGATTTCAAATGTTCCTTGTACGCCAAGATGTCCCTATTCCACTTAGTGATAGTCTGCTTCTCACACACCCATATCTCCTGAGCCACCTATTTAAAAAAGGGACACATATTTGCAATTTAACCAACTCAAAACTGGGTTGAACCATGAATATGAATTTATTTACCTGCTGAATGAGTCTAAAGTCGTGACTAACAAGCATCATTCCACCTTCAAAGTCATTGATCGCATCTGCCAATGCATCAATGGTTTCTATGTCCAAGTGATTCGTAGGCTCATCAAGGAACAGCATGTGAGGGTTCTGCCAGGCCAGCCAAGCAAAACAAACCCTGCATTTTTGACCATCTGACAAGTTCCTGATGGGACTGACCTGGGTTTAAAAAGGCAGACATTTTCACTATTCAAGAGCAATTTATATTCAAGAATACATTTGCACCAATTGGAAAATACACAGGAGAACCATCTTACCTGTTGTTTTCCCGTCAGACCATAACGCCCAATAATCTTTCTCATTTCTTCTTTCTCTTTGATTTCTGGGAAACATTTCATCATATACTCAAGAGGAGACAGGTCCAGTTCCAGTTGTTCTGTTAGATGCTGAACAAGACAAATATATATTTGTAAAACTGCACTAGTTGCATATGATTTGAAGAAACAAAACATAGTATTACCTGGTGGTATCTACCAATCTTAACGTGTGAATGTTTGCGAATCATGCCATCAGAGGGTAGAAGCTATAACACACAGAACACAATTATACGTCCATGTAACACAATGATGCCAATGGCTGTACAAAAGTGTACCAACCTCTCCCATTAAGAGTTTCAGAAGCGTGGACTTCCCTGCACCATTGGGCCCCACAAGAGCCACTCGTGTATCCAGATCAATACCAAACTCAAGGTTTTTATAGATGTATGGCTGAAAGAATTATAATGATATTATATTCATAGATGGAGATGACTAGTGATCTTAATTTTCACTTACTGTGTTGTCGCTGTACTTGAAGCTCACATTTTGAACCATGATTACAGGTGGAGGAATCTTCCCACAGGGAGGAAAATAAAATGACAAAGTCTGTTGGAAATAGACACATGTTTGTAACAAACTCATAAATGGGTCCTTACTCCTTAATAAAGAAAAACAAATATCCATTACATTACCTTGTCATTCACAACTTTTTCAGTTAAACCTGAAGCCACCATTTTTTGCAGAGTTTTCTCTTTGCTTTGCGCCTGTCGTGCCAACTTGGCAGAGCCGTGGCCAAATCTAGCAATGTAATTCTAGGAAGAATAAGAATAAAAGGTAAATTCCCAATTAGGAAAAAAAAAAAAATTATATACACTGTTGACTACTGCTATATTAAGAGAACAATTGACAATATGGTATGGTGATGTTTTAATTAATATGAAGTATTGCCCTTCTGTGGAATGAATACTAAAAACCATGATAACCTTCATATGTGCTATCTGGTCCTGCTCCCAGTTGAAACGCTTCATTTGGTTCTCCTCCAGCTCTTCTCTGGTTTTTACATACTGGTCATAGTTACCCTTAAAAGTAAAAATAGAGTTGCATGGTCATCATGAGACTAAACACAGACCATCGCTATTAATAGAGTGGCTCCCCTTTTTATAGCACTATATTTTTGGTTACAGAAATAAAAACCGTGGCACTATTACTTACAGTGTAGTATTTGAGCTTTCTCTGGTGCAGATGAATAATGTTGGTACAGACACCATTGAGGAAGTCTTGAGAATGTGAAATCAGGACAAGGATTCGCTTAAAGCTGAAGTAAAATAAAAATTAAAAGACTTCTTATAATATTAATTTTTTTAAAATGGTTTAAACCTACGATTTGAGCTCCTCTTCCAGCCATACACAGGCATCCAGATCCAAATGGTTTGTGGGTTCATCCAGTAGCAACATGAAGGGCTTGATGAAGAGTGCTCTGGAGAGATTGGAGTGTAACAGCCATTAAATAAAACATAATATTTAAATGATTAAATTCATGCATCCAAATAGAGTACCTGGCCAGAGCAACACGCATTCTCCACCCTCCGCTGAAGTCCTTGAGCTTCTTGTGCTGCATAATAGGGCTGAAGCCTAAACCATGGAGAATCCGGGAAGCTCTGACTTCTGCCTGGTCTGCATCCAACTCCTCTAAACGCTCATACAGCTCCATCAGCTTCTCACACTCCGCTTTATGGACAAGAGTAGTTACTGGTTAGCTACACTATAGGAAATCCACTTTACTCCAAATTGCAGAGACCAATTGGTGCCAGGCATAAATTTGGCTTGTTCACTCACAGTCCTCATGAGCAAGTCGCTCAGCCTCCTTTTCCAACTTGATTCTCTCTTCATCCACCTCCATGACACACTGCAGCGCAGTCTTTTCACTCGGAGCCATCTCACGACTCAAGTGATAAATATCTATGTGCTCTGGAATGGGAATCTCACGATGTCCAATGGCGGACAATAACATAGACTTTCCTAATAGAACGCAATACATGTGGTGAAAATCATGACTTCAGTACTGTTAAAAGATACAAGTTATAGACATACGTACCTGTGCCATTTAGGCCAATAAGTCCATATCGTCTGCCAGAGTTAAGCTCAAGACTGGTGTCCGACAGCAGCTCCATCCCATGGAAAGTGAGCGACAGGCTGCTGATGTGGACATCAGTGCTGTTGGGGTGTGATGCAAGGACTCCCGTGACAGCCCGAGCCTCAGTCTTTTGCAGTTCAAATTCATCTAGTTCCTTTGTTAAGCTATCAATACCTGTCAAATTAATACCATGAATAACTACTTTACTTTTCACAGAGTAGAACTTACTGCATTCATACATTTACAAAATGAATGACAGATAATCAGCTGTGCATCAAACATATGTAAAAAAGGACATCACTAACCATTGCTTTCTGCTCCATTTTCCTGAGCCTCAGGTTGTTCGCTGTCACCATTCACTTCTTCAGGTTTCTTAGTGCGTTGCCGGGCCTTGGCTGCCTCCTTCTTCTTGGCAGCTTTCTTCTTGGCTAAATCAGACGGCATGGCTGTACGACAGAATACAGTACAAATACTGGTAACATTCATTTAAATGGAGCATACGCCTTCTGAAGGACTTGAGTCATTCACAGGTAGAGTTGCTACAATACAACATCCGGTCTTGATGGAAATTCTCACAATGGAACTGATTACGTAAAGTAGCGTCATGGATCCAAGACTGCGGTTCCACCATAACCAAACAAATGTCTAACGCCATAAGTCATGTAGCTTAGTTAACGTAATTCAAGTGGCCTATTATTCTTATAAGATTATTTGGTTTCAATCCCACTTACACGCACACTGGGTCCACTGTATCAAACTAGCCTGTAGCTAACGATGGATAAAGGCCTAATACCCACTGACAAGTGCCATTAACGTTACATGGTTGTTTACCCGGACGTCAAGAAAAAACAATAGTAGTGTAAAAATAAAGCGTGTTATCCAAAAAATCTTTCATTGACCCAGATTTTATAAACGTTTAATTAAAACGTTAGCAACCATGCTAGATTATGCTAACCGGTTTAGCTGCGGCAGGCCTCGGGTGAAGCTCGGCTAAAGCTTACCGTTACTTGATGAAAGACTAGCACAAAACCCAACCACAAAGGCCTTTCAGACTTGAATTACACTACTATATTCTTATTTTATGTCCAGTAAGTGTCACTATTATATAAAGCGCATCTTACCTAAACGACAGAGTGGGAGCACACCGCTATCTCGTGTTCACTTTTGCCGGGTGCGTGTGCCGCGGCCAAACCAGCAGACAGGCCATATATGGTCTTAAAGGGCGGGCAAAAATGGCCATATAAGGATTTAGAGGGCGGTGACGAATATCCATATATGGTCAGGAAGGGCGGTCTAATGCTGCCTCTTCTCCAAAGACTGCAGTGACTGACTATTTAGAATTAAGTCACATTTCCATCTGAAATAATACCAAGAGCCTCGGGATTTTATGCTAAAGCTTACCAAGAGTCTCGGAATTTTATGCTAAAGCTTTTATGTAGTTACAATGGGCTAAGCTACACTAATAAAGATATTCAAAGAAAACTAAGAAGCACACAAGTGGTTCATATGATGAGTTAACTAATATTGACGCTATTATATTTATTTAGCACACTGAATACATTGTCTGACATTTGAGCTCAAGCATACCTCCACGTGGTTTGGTGTAATGTGCAGCGGCCCTGGCGTGCAGGGCAGAGGTGATGCTGCAGCGCTGTGCCGCGGCTGCTTGGAGGGATGAGGAGTGAGTGAGGCAGGGGGATACGACGTAGGGGGAAGCTGTGTTTTTTTTTTTTTTTTTTTACTTCTGTGTGTGTGGCAGTCGTCTTTGGAGGAAGTCCAGTGCAGCAGGAACGGACCTCATATTCTATCTTAAATGTGACAAACCTTTTATTCACCGAGGATGACGGATTGCGTGGCTGACTGTTGTCATTGTTTATCGGGGAGGAGGCGGATAAGCAGTCGTCTCTACCGGAGCGCTGTTAGCCTGCTGCTAGCTTCTGTTTGATGTTTGCTCCTCAGACACATACCGTTACTGGAGGAGCTGTGCGAGACGCGATTCAGACAGAGATGGCTTCGTTTATAAGTCCGATTATCGCTATGTAAGCTATATGCTTCGCCTTATTGGCAACCCTTTAGCACACCATTGTTAGCTTTCGTTGAATTTAGGCATTAGATTAGCGAAATTTAGTTTCCGCTAAGCTAATTAACCTAACGTTAGCTTTGATGGCAAGCTGAAGAAAGTTACCGCTTTGTTACACAGTCACTACTGTGGTGTAGATTCGATAACGTTAGATAATAAAATACTTCGGTGTGCGCTGCTTGATTGCGCAACATTAACTACGAAAAAGTAAGTAGGATGAATTCAATGCAACATTTCTAGCCTATTTAGTACTTTTACAAACTAAGGTAAGCGCGTACCGCTGGCTCAACATGGGGCATCTGAGGAGCGCTGTGTTATAGAATGCATGGAGCTTTTTTTTTCTAAATGAACATATCCACTCTCTCCCAAATTTATTTATGGGCGAGGGCAGGAGTGCGGCCAAATCATCCATCGGTCTATAGCTTTTCATGAAACCCCTTGAGTATCTGTACCAGATATGCGACTTTCCTCCTTTTTGGCCGTCTTCAGGCCTGCTTTACCCTTGATCCTGGGACTATCGCTTGGATGCAGTCTCAGTCTACTAATGGTGTCTTGGACACAAGACACGGAGGACTCCTGCAGAGATGAACTGGGCAATGGAAGACTTTTTCTAGGAAGACGAGATGCTCTGAGGGACTCCAGAGATGGTGTGGATAATGAAGACTTTCAGCCACGCATCATACCATACCACAAAGACCCAAACAAGCCACACAAAAAAGTCCTCAGGTAAGAATGAAAAAGGCTCCTAAGATATAATCAAATAGCCAATGTAACAGGTATAAATGTACTTCTTTTATTTTAAACCTTTGTTTTTTAAGATAAAATTTTATTAAGCCAAAAAGCCAAGTGGATGGAATTAACATATCTAGTATCTGCAAACCAAGTAAATAATTATATTTGCTCTGAGCTGACAAATTTATGATTTTTTTTTTTTTTTCCAGGACACGATATATTCACACAGAGCTGGGCATCAGGGAGCGCCTTTTGGTAGGAGTGCTGACATCACGGGCCACACTCAACACTCTGGCTGTGGCAGTAAACCGGACAGTTGCACACCACTTCCATCGCACGTTTTTCTTCACAGGACTGCGTAGCCCTAAAATACCCCACGGCATGACGGTGATTGCACACGGGGATGACCGCCCCGTGTGGCTAATGTATGAGACCATCAGGCACCTTCACCAGCACCATGGCTCGGACTATGACTGGTTCTTCTTGGCCCAAGATGACACCTACATGCAGGCTGATCGTTTGTCAGAGCTCGTGGGACACCTCAGTGCAGGTCAGGACTTGTACATGGGAAGGTCTGAGGAGTTCATTGGTGGAGAGGAAAAAGCTCGCTACTGCCATGGGGGCTATGGTTATCTGTTGTCCCGTAGCCTGCTGGCTCGTCTGCAGCCACACCTCGATACATGCCGTAATGACATCCTGAGTGTGAGGCCCGATGAGTGGCTGGGGCGCTGCATTATCGACTATCTTGGGCTTAGTTGTGTAGAAGTACATCAGGTAAGCAGCCTATGTTAAGTTAGTCTGGCCAGACACTTCTGTATGTACAGCTAAACATGGGGAAGTGGCTGCAGAATTGAGCCAACTGCAATATCGCAGTTAAGCCTAAACTTGAACCACAATGGAAAGGTTTTGCAAAGACTGCAATTTATAGGTACAGTGTCCTGACAAACCACAAAATATCTAATTATGTTTAAAACCCTCTAAACCCAGTAGTTTAAACCTTTATAAACTGTACTAAATGTCTGTTGTCAATTTTATTACACAAAAAAGTTATTCACAATTTTCATCCAAAAATTGTCTCGTGTTGGTCTGGAACAGAAATACTACAGTTTCTTTTAAACATTTCCATTATTCTTGTGATATGGTACATCTGATTGGTTGTTAATCCATTGCATCCATTTTTATCAGCTCAAAATTTTTTCTGCATCTATTTGTTCCACTTCCCTGCAAATCAACATGGACCAGACTAATTAGAGAATAAAATCAATTAGATGTCTGGCCAGGGTAGTAGATAATTAGCAGAAATATGACAACAAAGCTGCTAACAACCTCATAAATGTTTCTTTTCTCACAGGAGATGACTTATCGCTACTTCGAGCTTGGGAAAAATGCTGACCCTGAGCGTGAGGACAGCCCACAGTTTAAAAACGCTTTCACTGTGCATCCTGTGTCTGAGCCAAATCTCATGTACCGCCTTCACAAGCGCTTCAGCCACATCGAGCTGGACTGGACGTATGGGCAGATTCAGCAGCTGCAGGTCTGTTTTGGGCAAATGTTATCAGATGACATTGTTGTGCCAGTTTGTGGATGAGCACTCTGTGAAAGTGCTGGTTGTGTGCTTTCAACCACACCCAATTTGGCTATGGAGAAAATTGTAGACTAGTACAACATTTATACATGTCAGAAAGCTCAGAGCACAGAGTGAGGTACTTTAGTTAAGACCATAAAATACTGCATTCCAATATCATTATAGTCTTCATTGGGTCTGCCTCTGAAGACCTTGATGTATTCTGTAATTAAATTTTATGATAATGTTACAACATTGTGACTATTTTGACATGACTTATATATCATATAGTCAAGACAAATAGTAAGTATGTTCTTATTCTATTTTTATTTATGTAACTACCCAAATGAAAAAAATAATATTTTGAATGTATTTTCTCAGATGCAGATTAACAACCTGAGTGATCTCACACCAGAGGGGAGAGCCGGGGTCACCTGGCCTATTGGAATCAACCCCCCGTTCAAACCACGAACTCGTTTTGAAGTGATAAACTGGGAGTACTTCACAGAGGAGCATATCTACTCGTGCATCGACAGTTCTCCAAAGTGTGAGATCAGAGGGGTGGACCATGCCGATGTGGCCGCTGTTCTGGATATTGCTGTGGAGCGTCTGAATGAGAGATACCAGCCTCAGCTCCGCTTCCAGAAGAGGCGTTTACTGAATGGCTACAGGCGCTTTGACCCCACGCGAGGGATGGAGTACATGCTGGACCTGGCCCTGGAAGCCTACACCCAGAAAGGCCACAGTCAGGTGATCGTGAAGAGGGTGAACCTGCTGCGGCCTCTCAGTGCAGTGGAGATCATTCCCATGCCTTATGTGACAGAAGCCACTCGAGTGCAAGTTATCCTCCCTGTCACTGCCCAGGACCAGGACTATGTCAGCAATTTCCTGGATATGTATGTCATGAACACGCTGGACACACATGATAATGTGTTACTCACCTTTTTGTTCATCTATGACCCTTTTGATGCTCAGCGCGTAAGTCAAACAGATGTGTTTGCAGGCATTAAGGCCATGATTGGAGAGGTGGAAAAACGGTATGGTGACGTCAAAATCCCTTGGATTAGTGTGAAGACAGAGGTGCCATCTCAGGTGAAGCTGATGGACATCATCTCCAAGAAGCACCCAGTGGACACTCTGTTCTTCTTGGCCAGTGTGTGGACAGAGGTCAATGCAGACTTTCTCAACCGCTGTAGAATGAACGCCATCAGTAACTGGCAGGTGTTCTTCCCCATCCACTTCCAGGAGTACAGCCCTGCAATAGTGTACCGTGACCAGCAGCCCTCTGCTGCCTCCTCCTTTGCCTCTGAGTCTTTGCGGGACGGACATTTTGACCGGCATGTCTTCGACGAGGCGTGCTTCTATAACGCAGATTACATGACTGCACGGACCAAAATGGCTGCCGACATCTTGGACAATGAGGAGCTGCTGGAGAGCATGGACGTGTATGACATATTTGTGCGCTACTCTGGACTCCATGTGTTTCGAGCTGTGGAGCCAGCACTCATTCAGAAGTATGTGAGGCGTGTTTGTAACCCACGTTTTAGTGAGGACATATACCACCGCTGTGTGCTCAGCAACCTAGAGGGACTGGGCTCTCGCTCACACTTAGCCATGGCTCTCTTTGAACAGGAGCAAGCCAACAGCACCTAGCTCCACCTCCTGTTGAACTGAACCTATATGTTTAGAATAATGTGAATTAATGTACTGTAATATTTTGTATCTTTATGCTGGAGTTGATTCCCCTAAACAAAACAGGAACAAATGTGCTGAATCAAGGCAGTGAAATGAGTGCTGACGCAGTACTTCCCGTGGGAGGCCTCTGCTCACTACTTCTGACTCATGAGCTTTTGAAGTCTTGCTGAGACATGTTCTGCCCCTCACAAACTTCACAGTGTATTGAGCGGCCCATCTATTTATACTTTGGTTGGCACAAATACCAAAAGACAATACAGTTGTTGCCTTTATTGTATTTTTTTATTGAGGTGAAAAGACACAGTCTGCCTGAATGTGGAAGTTGTGCTATCAGCTGCCTTGTCTTGACAGGATGTCTCAAAGAGTATTAAAAATTCTTATTTCTGCTTGGCAACTTTTTTTCTTACACTAGTAGTGTTAAAATAAACCAAATGTTTTTTTAGTTTGCTCCAAAGTCCCCATTACAGACCCTAGCCTAGACGACGTGAGCAGTTTGTTCCGAAATAGACCTATAATTCTCCACCCTCTGGTTTTTTTCTTCTGCACGCATGTCTTTGGGGATAGGATTCACCCTATTCCCCAGAGGAAGGGCTGAGTCCATCGTGCCAGGCGCTACAGTGGTGCTGGTGGTTAACCTTCACAACCACTCGGTCAAATCGTCTGAATGGCTCACTTCACACTATTACACTGAAGCCCTAACCTCCCCCAAGTCAAATTATCTCTATGCTAGGGGTGGCTAGCTTAGGAGAATAGTCCAGGAGTGGGGTGAAAGGGGCTCTTATGACATAGGAACGTGGCAGTAGTCAGTATTACGGCACCGCTGTCAAGGAAAACCTCCACCTGCTTCCTTGTGGTCAACTCTGAATGCTCTGTCTGTCCGGCACTTCTGACCAACAGCCTACTCCTACAGCTACAGCTACATTTCACCCATACAAACTAACCTGCTGGTCTATTTTAGTACAAGTTCAAATAAGCATAGAGATGGTAGATTTTGTAGAAACGTATTTAGATTGAGAGGGAAAAATGTTCGGTTAGATTTAGGGGGTTGTTATTATCTTAAGCTCCCTGGTATGCTGTGTGCCAGCTGGTATAATCAGTTCCAGAGCAAAGTGAAGTATTTGCCTGCAGTAATTGGCTGAGTCCTACAAACCTACATGGGCTAATAAGAATTTTCCTCTGCAGTGTGCTATTTGGAGTGCTGTATACTTTAATGAAAGTAAATGGAAACTTCAAAATGTGAATGCTACTCCTACAACATTTTAATTTCTACTAGGCCTACAAAGCATACACAGCCCTTTCCTGTTAGAAAAATGTTAAGAAAATATGACAAATGTATATATTTGTTTTTATAAGTATATTTATAATTGTTTGTAGAATTGTACATTTCCAACAACATATTTCTAGATTTGCTTTACCTAATCTAATCTAAAACACAGCTAAGTATAGCATATACAGTGTATTTTATGTATTTGAGATTTGATTCACAAATGCAATTTTAGCACTATTATTCCATTAGAGAATATACTACACCATATAATCAGTTATTAAATATTCAAATACAAAATATTCTTTAATCACACACACAAACACACACACACACACATATATATAGCTATAGAATATATTTTTACCTCATTGACCATTGTTTGGATGAAGTGTTATAGAAAATCTTAAAAGGTGGAAAAAAACACACAGAAGATCTCATGGCATTTACAAACTTTGGCAAGCGCTTCTTTATTTACATCCAGGCTGTCTTGCAGTGTCACAGCTCTTTTCCCTTTTTGTTGTTGTGAAACCATTGAAATCACAAATTAATTTTCACTTTTGCTGATATACAGTATTTCACATAGTATTGCCTTCAAGTTGGTAACCCTTGTATGTAAAAGAGCAGAAAGGCTGAGTCGTTTGAAACATGCAAAAAAGTGGCACACACGTCAACAGTAATAGTTTTAGTAACTTGAACCTCTGCTGCTAACAGTAGTCTGCTGATGTATCAGTTCATCGTTTAGTCCACAAGGGGGTGCTAGTGGAGAAGTTTAATGCCCTGGACGCACAATGAAGACTTCAGACATACACTACTATTAATAATAATAACTGACCCTACATCTGTTGTTTACAAAAACAGTTCACAAAATCTCTCCTACACTTAGTGCTGGTAGGGGTTTTCATTTTTGGCAAAGTAATGTCCAGAAGGCATTCGATGGATCTTAATACACCGGCTGCTATGCCAGACTTATCATTATTTACATATACTGCGTTATCAGGTGTATCAGATGTCTTAAGAGCATGCATAGGTCTTCGTGAAATCATCCAATCAGAGTCTCCGAAGATAGAGCGACAGCACAGTGCAAAGAAACCCTGCGAGGTCCCGTCTAGAGCTGACTGCAGAAACAATGAAATCTCAATGGGACAATACAGCATATACATACAAGTCAAGTGTCATACAAAAGTGTAAAGGTGATCAGACGATGTGGTACAGCTACTCTATTGAAATGAGTGTTATTTTGTTACAGCTTGGAGCTTTAGACAGACAGGAGGCAGGAACTTAAAAAGGATCCAAGCCTAGATAGTACACACAGGGACACTCGCATCCAGACAACAGGTTGCGTTCACATGAAATCACAATACTCTAGAATCCCTATAGTTTAAAAGCTGGAGGACAGGTCAAACATCTATGGTGGAATTTGCTGTTTATGATCAATATCCGTAATTATAGGGCTTAATTACATATAAGCAAAAACTGAAAAAAGTCGAGCATCTTCTTTGTCAGGATAAATAAACTAATGTGAAATTATTATATTTTCATAATAGCTTTAGAAAGTGGGGCCATTATTCAACTGCAAAAACATGATAGCTGTCAGTTGAAAGGACCATAAGACATGAGTCTTATATGTCAAGTTTGTGAAGCCAATTCCCAACTAATAATATTCAACATTTATGGTTCAAAATTGTTGATATTTCAAAAACAGTGAATCTCCCCTAGAGTTACACAAGCCCAAGCTCTTTGTCTGATGTGAACGCAACCTATTCAAAAAGCAGAGATGTTCCCTATACAACAGCATATGACCTAGGCCCCCGAATCCAACAAAACACAAAGATAGTCTGTCATATATTGTACAGCTGACCCTCTTAAAGGGAAAAAAACTATTTACATTCACATCTCTAGAAAAAAGTAACAAAAAAGCAGTAAAAATGGACAGATGCAGATGAGAGTACACTAAAAATTGCCTGTAGTTGATTGACTGAGGTGTAATTTGGGACTTATTTGGGTTTACTAATCAATATGCTACACACAAATGGAAGATTTAAAAGGCAATTTCTACTGAACCCAAACCTACAGTGGCCATTATCGCTGCATTCTCTTCTTCGTTGCAACCTTTGGTAACACTGTCGGCACATTTAAATACTACACAAGGAAGAGGCAGTGAGTGATTTGGACAAAACACAGCTTCATGTCCATAACTTTCAATGATTCAGGAAGAAACGCTATTCCTTCAAAGAAACTAGTTACTAATTTGTGACAACACATATGAGCACAACTTAATACTGGCATGGTGAATTTTTTTAAGTGAGGTACCCGATCACTGAGTACATTTACATGGCCAGTACAAATCAGATAACTAGAATAATCAGATATACCCTGCCCTCTGATATTTGTTTACAAGCACAAAAGAAGTCCAATCATCGTAAACCTGTTGTGTCCTGTTAACCTGTTAATCAATTTATTTTTACTGTAGCATTTGGAAGACAAAGTACAATGAATTTCAAAATATCTCTCAGTCTTAAGCATTTTTCTTTCGTTTATGTCTTTGCCACATTAGTTTGGCTTTTATAATTTTCTTTGTTAAAACCTGCACGTGTCAACAGAAAGAAATCAGATTACTCACATTACTGTAACTACATGAGGTTTCAGGAATCTGATAACTAAGGATGCACCTATCCAGCTTTTTCATTTCCGATACTGATTCCAAAACTATTGCTTTATGCATCTGCTGACACCCGATATCAACCGATACCAGCGCAGAGACTAAAAAGAGCATTTCCTTTAAACAAAAATAAAATCAGACAAGTGTGTATGTGTGTGCCAAAATGTGTTAGATAGCTGTTATTAATCTCTCACATAACCACAGAACAATTTTGTGTAAATAAAAATTCAAACATTGTGAGACTTTCTAGACTGATTATGACCAGTAAATAATCTGTCTATTTCAATTTCAATAAATTTATACATCCAACCAGAATTTACCGATATTTGGAAAGCCAATATGTGATCCAGCAAATCTTTCAGTATTGATGCATCCCAACTGATAACTCGAGAAATCCGACAATGATCAGATTTTTGGTGTGCGTGTAAACAGCCACTGATTCACTCCAAGCAGAGACGCTGTAGAAAGATCCACACCTCCAATTTATACATAGCTCTACTTCAGTGTCCCGTGATCTGATGTGCCAGACTGTAATCTCAACACTGCTGGTGTAAATAATTATTTCAAAACTCAACAAATTCCCTTAATTAATGAGGCGAAATACGCACCCAGTCACACTTGTCTTCGCACCTACTTTGATTAAAAAAACGTGTCAATACAATACAAAAACGGTAGAGGTGACTACATGTTTGAGATGATTCAGGAGTTGTGTTGTATTTACAGGAGCTTTAAGAGGAAGTTTTTAAGGTCAGATGTTGAACCCCGCAGTTGGTTACATGCGAATAGTAGTGGTGTTCCAAGAGGCCTGCATTTAACGTCTCCCATGTGTTGATGTTCGGTGATGACTCCTCATTGGTGTCGACTAAAGCCAAACCATTTCTTAGGTGTTGCGGACCGCCAAGGCCTGTTCCAGCTCCTGCCTCCTCTGCTGGATCTGATAGGGGAAAACAGGAAGGTATAATGAATTAGGATTGTAAATAGAAACGCAGGTTGCAAGTTTGATTCTTGGGTATGCTGACTCATCCTCAGGTAGAGTATGCATTAACTCCCATTCTAACTTTTTTCTTGGGGCACTCTACCACCACCCACATTGTAGACATGACATGGTGATTTTAATTGCACCTAGTATGTGAAGGTGCGAGTGAATGTTTTGTTGTCTTTCTGTGTTTTCTCTACTGTGACTATGTGGTGGGTGTATCTCACCTAATGCTCACACTATAATGCAAAAATGTGTAGTAAAGCAATACAGTGAAGCAATACTTTTAACACGGCAATGTCTGTAGAAACAATGTTTTTTTTTCCTGAATCAAAATTCTGAATTAGGGCTGGAGAATATGGTAATATGATAAAAATCCAATCTTGGTTGCACTCCTGTGATGATCTTCTATTTTGGTAAGAATCACAATGTTGTGTTTTACCACTGTTCTTTGGAATGCAGCTCTATGCTCAAACAAAGCCACTTTTCCAACCCATCCCTCCTATTAATGAGCATCAGCAATACTCGACATGAGTGAGGTAGATTTAACCAATTGCAATGAAGTGTGAAATTTCGGAAGAATCACATGACATTAGTTATGTCTTCAAGGCCATATGCATTTATTAAGTTTACATGAATTATGATAAAACCAAAATCATGATATTACTGTTTTTGTATATGGGCCATCCCTATTTTGAATTATTCTGTCCATCATATTGTTCTATTGCAATCTCAACCAACACATCTATATACAAATAGGCAAAAACAGGCAACAATGACAATAATAATTTAAATGTCATTTGTGGTTAGGCACTAAAGAGAGAACAACTTATTGCTGGGTGACACACTCACAAAAATGAATAGTTAAATAAAAAATATGTCTTTAAAAGTATAAGATGGACGTGTCACTCTTACCTTGCAGTAGAAATAGCGGCTGACGGCCTCTTGGGACCAGGGTTCGTGGTAGAACGCCGCCCTGCGCTCCTCCTCTGGGTTCCCCACCACATCTGTCATCAACTGGCAACCACAAGAGGGCACATTCACCATCAACTGCTTTTTTTAGGTTCAACTAATTACAGATATTAATTAGCGCATGCAGATTCTTATCATTAACGATTACCTTCTCCAGAACGTATTATGTTGTTTTATAGAGACATTTCACAGTGAGAGAAGTGCCAAGTATGTGTGGGTGTGTATTAATAACCTTAAGGTCCCTGCTTTGGGATTTGAGCCAGTCTTGGATGTAGCCCTTGGGATCTCTGGAGAAACTAAGCATGAAGTCCCTCTGGATCTTCAGCTGGTTGATGGACTCGATGGTCTCATGAATCTGGAAGAGGAGCAAGAGGAAAAATATTTTAGACAACCCAAAGCACCATTTTGTCTCTCTCTGCCTCTCTGTTAATAATTCAGGGTACTGCAACAGCCACTAATACTACATCTACTAGTACTGCCATTACTTCAGCTTAACAGCACAAAATAATACTATTTAAAAATTCTGTTCAGTTTTATTTATATAGGTTAATTTTATCCACATTATGTCCTCTTCTGGGGTTGGTCATTGTTTAGAACTTCTTCAACTATTTTTTAATCCTAAAACCTGGTTTATCTTTTGGACATAGTTTATCTGGTAGTAGTTTAACTATTTACTTTGACGTTACTTGATGTGAAAAGTTTCAGTAATAAATACCTACAGACTATCATTCACCTCTATGTTACCAATAGCATCAAAGCTATATAGGTGTTGATAGTAGCTGTGTGCTAACTTCACCTTGTTGTCGAGGGAGGCGATCTCCTGCTGGTTGGCAGTGGACAGGAGGAAGCTGCTCATCTGACTCTTCAGAGGGTCCTCCACTTCCACATCAATGTCATAACATGCCGTCTTCTTCTGATCATTGGGGTCCACACTGACAACACAGAAATAGTCACGCCAACAGTCTATTTATTTAAACCCATGTGCCTGAATAACAATAAACTATGAAGGATCACCAGAAAAAAGGGCTAAAGGCTAACGTGTTTTATTATGACATCTGAAATACTCTGGACACCTTTGCAAGTTTGCGTTGGCATTTCCCATTCCCACTTTAAAATATATGTGTATTGAAAACATGTTCTTTTGCAGCACTTACTCTGTCACTATCCATTTTGGATTAGGTGTCTGTTGCTCTCTGTGGGGGATGAAGTATTTTAAAGATTACAAGTTATCGGCATGGTAGTAGCCGACACTATAGATTTGTAATAAACTTCAAAGTAGAAAACTTAATAAAAATTGATTTAAATTTCTATAACAACTCAAAAGACATTGTGAAGGGTTGAGATAGACGGTAACGCTAACCTTTCTAGAACCACTATCTAAGTCCTACAGTAACACCAAATCAAAACATACCTGATAACATGGTTGATAACAATAGGGTCTGGAGGTAACAAGAGGTTGGTTAGACGTTGGGGGATTTCAGAGAATTTCAGTCGGGGACAATCAAAAATCTATGGAAAAAAGTTGCAAACATGTCTCAATCAACAATGCTTTAGTTGTATATTTTTGCAGTAACACAGTCATGGTCTCAGCTCTCCGTACCTGTTGGAAGTACTTGTCACAGTTGATGTACTCCTTGTCATGGGAGTCTTGCAGCTTGTTGGTCTTGACGTATTGCCAGAGGGCCTGGATGATACAGGAGCGTGTCTGTGTGTGGATCCCAAGCAGGCGGGCCAGGCGGGGGTCCAGTTTAAACTGTGGGGGCTGCACACACAACCACAATACAACTGTTACCTATGATCACATGTACCTATCCTGTCTACTTTAATGAAACACTTATATCAGGTTTGGCCTTGGAACTCTACATAATAAATCGTGGTTGTAGACCTTATAAATATTACCAAATGTTTGAGGTAATTGATACATATTTGTACAGGTGATTTCTTGGCTTGGATTTGGTAGGATTTGGTTTAGTGGAATACAATCACTGCAGTCTATTACAAAATAATAGGTCCCAAATGGAGTTGTAATAGCTTTTATATAGAGGTCGGGATTGTGTCGTCACACATCATAAAATTTTCAGTTAGTGTTCATTAACAATAATGCTGCTTCAAACATGGCTGATTCCCATGGTTCTTATTTGACGTTCCATCCCAAGCTCTATTAAAAATGCATAAAGTTAGAGTATAAAGTAATTGTTGTCAAGCTAATTTTAATGAGCAGCTATCTTACAAAATAAACATTAAACATTATTTTAATTACATTATGACTCACCATCCAATCTTAACAACATTGAGTATGACAATTAATGAAATATAATATATATATTCCTACGGTGCATTTAAATAGATTTGAGAATAAAACTGTTGTAATTCCATACTATCCCATTTCATTTTGAACTTGGTGGTCCTTACCTGGTAGTCAAGCATGAGTAGCAGAGTGCAGCGTACGCTCACGTCTCCGGGCCGTTTCACCTGGAAGCCGTCCGTCTCCTGGGTGGTGGGCGTGCGGTGCCACTAAATGACCAATCAGAGCACAGCAGGAAGTCAGCGCACACCCCCTTAACCACAGCTGGCTCCATTCATGACGGTCGTGTCTCTTCACAGTTTGTTTCACACTCTGTTAGTGCGGCTAATTCAATGATCCCCGGCGACCACGACAACTTGTAGATGGCTCTATTAGCTCGGTACTGAAATGAGCGCTAATTATTTCACTGTCTGTAAAGTAATGTTCATACTAATGGTAGTATTTCTGATGTGGCTGTGTGTACGTGAGGAAGTTTTTCACCTTGAATTTAAGTGTTCTACTGTTTAATATCATTGTAGGTCATCTGTATCTTACATTTTTATGTAAAATTGAGGAAAACTGTCCTTATCATACAATAAATATAAGAACTGGCAAAAACCTCAGATAAAAATGCGCTTGAACAACAAGATGCTTTTTTGACCACAAGAGGGCTCTTCAATATATTGAGAGCTCATCTGGTGTAGTGCCCTTTAAGATAGTATGTAATCTGCCTATAGAATATAGCACTCCTCACATTCTAAATATGAGCAGTACACAGTATTTGTACTGGGCTGAAAGACTTAGAAATAGTGTGACCTGTTTCTGTGCTCCAATGTTGAGCTGTGACTCACTGTGCCCCTCATGCTTTCCTCAAATCAGAACGGCTGATTAAACTGTGATTGTGCTTCAAGGCAGAGACTTCTTGATGGAAATCATTTAGAGCAGAGCACCTGAGTGCCACACTAAAACACTCTTAAAAAGAGAAAACCTTGAGAAGTCATCATTTTCACTCCATAACTTCCTAAAGTGGGGTTTTCAGTAAATCTGTTTTGTCCAAATCAAAGTGAAGGACAACTGATGGTTAGTTTTAATGAGTAAACTCCCTGAAGCACTCACATGTGCATGCAAAACTTTGTTATGTTAAAAGCTGCTGGTGTTTGTTATCCAAAATGTAATTATTCAAGCAGGGACTTGTAGTGCTTGTTTTACAGTGTTGAAGGACACATCTATGATTAAATAATAATTTGTAAATATTAATTAGTGAAGAACTGTAGTGTAGACTTTTTGTAATTAGTGTAGATATGTGGAAGAAAGTTTATATGCTTAGTAATCCTTCATGTAAATTTAGCTTTATTTTACAACACTTCTCCTTACTAAACGTTGTGCTTAGAAGCGGCTTCTTGATGACCATACAAACATTTGTGAGCTCTCAGTGGACATGTTAACTCTTACCTCCACGAGATGGTTGTCAGGACCATACAAGTCTTTGTCCAGCTCGATGACCAGGCTCTTGAAGAAGGAGGAAAACTTCTTCTTTTGCTTCCCAGGCTGAAACACAGAAGAAGACATGAGCTAATGCAATAACACAAAATAGCTTTTCTCACAGAAGTATTAGTCACCAAACCCCGAGAAGCCTGAGGAAGATGACAAATACACAACATTCTCAGGGTCCACTTCCTCTAAAGCTGAGCAGAAATATTTGTGGTCTGTGAAAATGTTTCCTCCAGCTCAGATGACAGCTGTACCTCAGTGAGCTAACATCAGAGTCTTTTACAAAGCACTAACGCTGTAAGATCATTATGTTTCATGCTTCACTGGTCTCTGCACAAACCTCCAAAATATCAATCATGTAATACTACTCTGCTACCTGGGTTTCATAATTACAGAGGAGTACAAAGCTATTTGATTTTTTTTATATTGAATGAACTAAGAAAGATGACGATGGATTTTAGGAAGGACTCCAATGGAAACGTTTTGGGAGTGGTTGAAAATGTAACCGCAAAGTGTTTGTGAAAAATAGGGTAGTAATGGCCACAGTACCAGTTGCATTGTATCAAAATTAGTAATAATAGTAATAAAATAGAAACAGTGGCTAGTTGCAAAAGTAGCAATATTAGGCATTGCAAATGTAGCATACTTTTAAGTCATCATACAAAATACTGCCTTTGTCTAGACAAGTAAAGCCTACCTCATTTCTTTCAATACAAAGACAACTTATTGCATACAAATGTAAATATAATACTCACATCATCAAGCAGTTTCCCTTCCACTCGCAGTTCCCATGATGCAATGCTTCCATCAGAGTCATCGGCGTCAGGCCTGGCGGGGTTGAAGGTGTTTGATATGTACAGCCTTAGTTTGCGCTTTTGCTGTTGACACAAGAGCACAGAGCAGACCACTGTTTAAAGAAACATTTAAACAGGGCTAATGATAACGGAATATTTTCAGTACCTTCATGGGCCTCTTGAGGGCCTCCTGGATGTCCACGCGTTTGCGCATGATGGTCTGGTCCAGTTTACGCTCAAAGGCCAGAAGGTCCATGTACGCCTGCGACTCAGGGACCAGCTCACGGATCTAAAACCATAACATACATTTTTACAACAATATAATTATATATTATATATATTATATACTGCTTTATTTATGTTTTCACAAGTTGGATCTTGGATATGAATTATTCAAATTGTAAATTAAAATGTAACTAATGAGTGTATTGTTTTTTGGGAGAGCATTTTTCTAAGTATTTATTTTATTAATTTGTTAATCTGATCTTACATGCTGTTCTGAATGTAATGCAAAAATACAAAGATCCAATATGCAAATAAGTTAATCAATTCAGGTGACATACCATAGACCATATTTTTTTTTAAATCTAGTTCTCTATTACTTCATAACTGCTTTGTGACAGGAGTCTGTCTCACATCTGTACAAAACGACAATGTCCACAGTGGTTGGACTGGAGGTGACTGATGTGACTGACTAAAATAAACTGCTCAGATTGCTGGTGTCTGTCTGACAGATCATTTCTCTCCCTCCATGGGCGCCTTCTTATTATGACTTCCTCACCGGGCGATGGAGTCTAGCCGTGAATGTCCCTAAGCTACTGCTCGGTCCATCAAAATCCTGCAGGTCGACTCCGAGGACACAGGGGGGTCCAAATGAGATGCAGCCAACATCACATTAGCATACCATTCAAAGTTCCTCCAGCATCAAGGGCTCGCTTCACCTCTTCTGGGTTTTTTTCACTTAAATGGCCGCTTCATTGTTCCCCTCTCATTCCTCTCCTATCTCCATCTCTCTGGCTTTCGGCAGGCCAGGGTGCCAGGCAGACAGACATTCCCTATCCGTGACTCATTATAGTGGAGTGGAGTGGCGCCCCCAAGCCATGCTATCTATCCTGTCTGGACTATAGCAGAGGATAAGCTTTTGGACGCTCTATGTTCTCACAGCGATGGCCAAAACTCATAAACAAATACAGCTATCCGACCACATGATGCAAAAAAGATACTGTTTAACTGTTTGTATTTGTTTTGTTTTGTTTTTTTCAAATCGAAATTCTGTTCTTGGTCAATTTCTCCCCCAAATCTATTGCAAAACAATCCCGTACCTTCTGGTTATTTGGAAGTCGCATTTAATGATACGGCCTCTGCGACTGGAAACCTGGCTACCCCTGACTGGGATTGTACTGCAGTGGCGCATGCAAAAATAATGACAAACATAAAAACATCAACAACAACAAAGGTAAAAATATGCAGCCTCACCCTTTGCGGAAGAATCTTGTCTGCCATTTTCCTTCTCTTAGCACTAGAGAGACGGAGAGAAAGACAGAGGGAAAGAGGAAAAAGAGAGCATGTTACTATGGTGACTGATAGCGTAGCACCCAGGCCATCTGCTAAAATGCTGGGCCATATCCAGCACCCCAGCGCCCCAGCTGTGTGTGTGTGTGTGTGTGTGCGCCTGTGTGTGTGTCCTGTGTTCTCAAATACAGCAGTGTACCTGGAGGAGAAAGCTGCCTCTAACGGCCAAAAGAATGTCACATCACATCTCCTGCCCGACACACTCCAGTGGTTTTAGGAACAGAGACATTCACAGTGAAAGAGAATGAGCCAAAGTCTTCATTGACAAATCATTTCCACTGCATTTGTTTGTTGTGATACTTACCAGAGAGACTCGGAGCAAAAGCAAATGTTTAGTGCCATATGTGTGTGTGTTCTCTTAGTGACTTAATATTTACAGCTCAAATATTTCAAAACAAGCAAACCGTTCCTTGGCCAAATGTCATGCATTTTGTTTTCTGAACTTGCTGTTCTAAACTGCTGCGTGCCACAAAACTCCACCAGCGGTCACTTGGTATGCATCACAGGCACTGCGTCAGATGCATGAGGTCATGTGATCCAAAGTGACCCACACGCACACTAGTACAGTTGTAATAAGTACAGGTGACATGCAGTACTGTGTGCCCAGACCCACTGTCTGTGCTCCTATGAAGGTCCTTTGTGGAACATGTGTAGCCCTGGTCAGTACTGGTCAGTACTGGTCAGTACAACAGCACTGTCCTCAGCACCATTGCAGAAGCTCCAGTGAAGTGAGAGCTGGGCTGAACAAACACAGTCAAACTACAGAAAAATCACTGAAGGAAAGAGCTGGGAAACACATCCTTTTACGAAGAAGCTACCACAGACTACGTTTTAATATGGTTTAAACTTTAGTTTTAAGTGGTTAAAAGTGTTCCACATAGCATCCTTCACTTATGTGCACAATCTTATTTGTAATGAAATGCAATATTGAAAAATATAGCTAAATAAGAAAAATGTAAAAATGAGCACAGTGTCTTGATGTATCAACATGTATTCATAATATCTCATAGGTAATATTAGAAAATCATTACACATGCAACCCTTAACAAAATGTTCAGCATCCAGTAAAACTTGACTTCATTAAGGTTAAATCTATGAACACAAGGTCTATCTGAACATTAAGAACAAACTAAAGCAGCTCCTACAATTGGAGTAAATCTCAAGGCTATTTGTTATGTACTGTATGTAATTGGTGAGTAGGGAAGTATGGTAAAATAACATTATACTATATGTATAAATATTATACTAATTATATTTAACTATAAGTGTCTCAACTTCATTTTTGCTTATAGGACCACATGCCCAAAATGTAAACCATGAATCATTTGGAGAGTACATTTCAAAGGGAAAGTAACACCTGCACCACAACATTCTGCACTGACTTTAAGGACTTTTTAAAGGCCTCTGTTTTCTCTCTAGCTGCACAGTCTGTTCCTATCATGCCATGCTCCAGTCCAAAGCATGCACCACTACTTGTAGGAACCAAACGTTTGCAGCTCTGTGGGCATGAGCCTGGCCAAAACAGAGCCTTGGAGGGAGGACCCAGGGCTCAGCGGACAGGGCACTCAGATCAGGACCACCAAAGCGGGGAGAAAACGGACATGCAGCAGAATAAACTCCTACTTTGATCCGAGCGTGGGATCTGATTGGGGCTCTCTCATGTCCATCTGCCTCGCCGGCATCTCATTGGCTCCTGGGAATCCGACCGGCTTCCTAAGGTTTGAAATTTGAAGGTTGTACTGTTAGAAATGTAAATATGACACTTTAAAGGGGAGTAAGGGGCGGGACTTTAGGTTTAGACTGCTTAAATGTTTGTGTGTGCTACAAGTGTTAGTGAGTGTACTCCGACAGGCACTAGCATGGGGTAGTGTGTGTCCATGCACCCTACAGAGGGCTGTTGATCTGAAACTCAACGGTGTTTCACGGTGAGCCGTAATAAACATGCTTCACACACACAAACACACACACACACTACACTGATAATGGAAAGAGGTGCTTGGAGGGGCACTGGAGGCAAGATGGATGGAGCACTAGTGGCGAATGGGGTCTAAGGGTGCACAAGGCAAAGTTAAAGTGAAATTTTTAAAGGTTCCTGTCATAAGAAACTCAGAAGTGATACAATCCAAAAGTTAACGCAAAAATGTTTTTGGGATCATAGAGCAGAGAGGGTCATGGTTGCTTAGTAATGGACTGTTAGGAGAAGAAAATAAAAATAAAAACAGTTGGGTCATGGTTAGTGTTGACTTGAGTGAATAGAAGTACAGCTAACATGGCTTCAGTAAAGTTCGAGCGACAAAGAATCTGAAAGCTAAAATGAATTTGTTTTTTAATTATCATCTTAGAAGATTTTGTGGTTGAACTCAATGGACGTTTCGCCTACTGAAGTTGGACATCATTTCTAATCAGAATCACACCTTAAGAATACAAGATATGAATCGAGGTGTTAGTGTCATAATTAACCTTGAGATACTTTTTTATGCTGACTATTCTTTCTTAAAAGTGTTTTCATGGCTGCGAAATATACAACATTTTCTATAACACTGCACAATATTATTATATACAGGGTTCAGTTAAATAGAACTTAATTAATTTGTTAAATAATGAACTAAATATGAGACCCAAATTTTGTGATTTCTTTTTGTGAAATAAATTAGCACAGCCTGTATTTATTAAATTTCTCTGATTGTGCATGAATAAAGTTTCTTTCTAATCTGACTCATTCTAACCTTAAATGATTCTCCCACAACAAGATTTGCAAGATAGAACAAGATAACAGGTTTGGTTAGGTTGCTTTACTTAAGCTATCAAGATATTTTTGCAGTTACTTTACAAACTAGGACTTTGCAATTCCTCAAAATTCAGCCATTTCTAAAAGTCAGTGATCACCTTGGTTCTTCTAAATGGGGAGGTCTAAAGGTCTAGAGCCAATTGTCTGTCAGTAAAAACATGTGGGTTGGAGCAGAGTTCAGACTTTGAAAGATGAAATGGCATGGATTACAAAGCAGTATTTTTTAGCTTCAGGAAATAAACACTGAAAGGCATTTTGTATGTATTTGATTTGGTACAGAGATAAAATAAAATACTTTGCTACTGTTATTTGTCATATTGCCCAGCCCTAATTTGCAGCTATAGCATCTGCACCAGAAAGTTTGTGGTGCTTCCATACTCCTCACAGGACTTTACACTTGGCCGACTGTAATCTGATACTATTTTTGGCTCACTGATGCTGCGCGGAGTGAGGAGGTCTCAATGACACCGCTCGCATACGCACAGGTGGGTCGCCCTCGGCAACCAGATGTGCGCTGCCGGGCCAGATCCGAGCAGCGTAGAGGACACGTACTTTCACGAGGCGGTGGTGAGCAGCTGGGGGGCGACGCACCTGGATGGGTCACCCTGTACCATCGATCAGGGGCCCGGGCACTAAAGGGGGGGCAGGCTGAAGTGGGACAACATTTCCCCTGGCCTGTTCGACAAGTCTGCCTAATTGCAAGTGGATCAATTGTACTGCAGATAGTGAGGGAATGAGACAGAGGGAGACCAAGGCAGCTGAGTGTGCATATTGATTGTGTTTTAATGACCATACCTGCTGCACACCTCTCCTGTACAAGCATGTGTGTGTGTGTGTGTGTGTGTGTGTGTATGGAGTAGTCGGAAAGCTGACCACCTAAAGTCAAGGAAAACGCTAGAGCCTCAGTATCTTGATGGATGGTACAAAAGGTGAACCCAGACACATGGAGGCGTGAACATGGAAAAGGAGGGGCAGGTGTTCAAAGTGAAAATGCACCAAAGGAAAAAAAGGTGAGAGAGAGAGAAGGAGTGAAAGGAGCAGCACAGAGGAACACAGGTCCTGCTTTGAGGAGGTGATTGGTGAAATGAGGAACTTTTTGGTACCAAAATAGTTCTGTGATGTCTTATAATGTGGAATAATGCACAGCTCCTAACCTTCTACTAGATAGCACTAAAACTAATAAATGCATTGTCAACATGTAGGAATGAACAACCACAAAAACAAACTGCTTTAAGTTCATCCAGTGTTGGTGAAACTTAATCAATCTTAGCAACAGAGTTGGACAGGGCTGCAGACCCTTTTCATTTAGGAAGTAGATTGGACTGACTGGCCAATCCTGCCAATCACATCTACTGAAAACAACTGTGCTTTTTTAAGTGAAAAGCATTGTTGGTTAAGCCTAGCAGCATGTGCTTATTATTATATATTCCTCTGTTACTACTGTGGAAGTCAGCAATTTTAAAAGTAAAAAAAAAAAGATTAGTGATATTAATGATGATGAAATGTAAATATAAGTTCAATCCACACCGTGAAGTAGTTCACATGCCGTGCGGCGTTTAAGGGGTTCAGTAAAACTCACTTTCTGGCTCGGTTCTGCACAGCCTGCTGCTGTTGCTGCTGTGTCTGCTGCTGTTGTTGGACCTGTTGGGAGGGGGCAGGCCTCTTTCGGCTGGGCTCCATCACAGGGGAGGGCAGGCCGGGCCGCACTGTCGGGCTGCCACCGTACGGGGGGCCGGGGGGGCCCATGGGTGCTCCCTGGTGGGGCATCCTTGCTCCAGACGGCATGCCAGGACGCTGTGGGAGAACACAGGAAAACTGAGTACAGCCCGAGATAAGTTAGCATTGTTTTTATTTAGGAAACAATTTCATCATCTTCACTTTATTGAACATAGTCATGGTTCCATTCTTTTATCTCACTCCTCTCTTTTATATTTATTAACCTTTAGGAACACATCCCAATCAATAAACAGCTGGTCTGAAAACACAAATATGCTTTGCGTAATACACTAGCGTCAATGTTAACTTTTCAGTTCAGTGAAACTTACAAAACATAACCTTTAGCCAACATGTTATAGAAGTACTGTTCCACACTTGTAATAAAAAGCTTTTGTTAGTAAATAATAAAATAGAAATCCTTGACATTGGTAAATGCTATTATTCAAACTTAACCAAAGCTCACAAAACAGACTGAACGATTAGACAGCCGGTAATAATTCTTCCTGTAAAACAATGCAAACAGAGTCCTAGTCCTGGCTCAATATTTAGCATCTGAGCGCTGACGCCTGGGAACAACTGGGGACCTCTCACCTGTGCCTGTCACTCCCATAGCAACAGCTGCCTCCCCTCACTGCATTGTTCCAAACGCAGAGACAGAGGTGCCTTTTTCACTGCTATAACACACTAATTGTATGATCCTCCTGACCATGAAAAACTTTAGCAAGTTAGAGACTGAAAAACTCAATTAAACAAAGACCAAATAGTGTTAGGGATCCCTGCCAAAAACTCATAACATTTGGTACAAAACTCGTCTAACCATGGACTAATTGAATAGGTCTAATTACTAGTTCTTTATCTTTAGATGTTTCAACTTGTATAGTAAATGGAAACTCAATCAAAAATGATTTAGTTTCTTTTAGAAATTTTTCACATTAAGTCCACAAAAGCACAAACTTCACCCATACAATAGCTACATATAGTTAATGCTCCACAATGAAGCTAATGTGATTGTGCGATACAGCCAGAGCAGACGTGGCTGTCACTCTGTCTGTAAGTCTGATGGGGGTGGGGCGATTATGGAGGGGGTCAGGGCAACTGAGAAGTGTCCCGTAACGGCAAGAGGATAAAACAGCATATGGTGAGGGGCCTAGTACTACAACCCACTGTGCTTTAACAACCTTGGACAAATATACAAGAAGTTTTTGCAATGCCTCACTGCTGTTACAGGAGCGAATATTTGAGATAGCTGATACACAAAGAGATACATTCACGGGGATAGTGTGGTCTGACTTCCTCTAAATCCACACACATAAACCAGAGTGGAGGTGCGCTACTGTATAATATGACCTGCTGAACTGATTCCAACGCTGTGCCCCGGGCTGTGCCAGTCAGCCAAGCAGCAACCCTATCTGCCATGAGGATGTTATGTGAGACGCGCGCTGGCATATTCACGGGGGGACGAGGCTGCAGGGATTTGATGAAGCCAAACTTATCCCACACAGAGCTAAACATAAGAATCTGTGGGATGGGATGTAAACAATCCAAAGGTCTCAGGTTGGAGTGGAGAAAGCAGCTACAAACTTAGGTGAAAGTGTATTGGTGCAGGGTCAAAAGTAGGCGACTGGAGTTAAAGTGGTAGGGTTTCTATATCTTAGACAAACTTGAAACTAACTTTGTTTCAGTATAATAAATGATGAATAACATGGGATAAAGCAACTAAATAATGAGTTTTTTTTCTATTTGGCATGTACTGTGTTGGAATAACTTTGTTCAAATTTCTTATCTCAACTGTTCATCTAGCTAGAGTTGGCAAAATTATCAAATCAGATATTAACCATTGCAAAAACTAGTATCAAAACTCATTTGAACACGTATCAATACTAAAAAAAAAGTCACATCAACAGGACAAAAATTAACTTGAATAACTGAATAGCTTTAGAATTACCTTGAGTAGTATCAGAACAAGTATATATGGCTACATATACCATGGGTGACTGAGGGATTCCACAAATATAATACCACATGGTAATATAAAAGAAAATACTATTATTTAATGTTGAAAATCATAATCGATGGTAACAGAATTTATACTTTGTAATGAAATCGAGTTTGACAACACTACATCTACTTTTACTAATAATTACACCCTAACTTTTAGAATTAGCAAAAGTACTTTGTCTTACTTTTCCACTTTATGGGATAAATTGTAATCCATGTTTAATCCTACAGTATATGAAAGTACTATAGTTATGCCGAGATAATACCTAACAAACACTGGTTATGTGGCTTCCAATTTGTAACACTGGAACACTTAATATCGTAATCTTAGTACACTCTAACTTGCAAACAATATAGAGCAGCACAGGCACCCATTAAATGAAGAGCTGACAGTTTAAATTTCACCTTGTTGAGGAATGGTATCTGGTGTAATATCTTGGAAAAGTCTTAAACAAGAAAGCAAGACATAATATGAGCTAAGATTTCAGCTCAGTATATGTACTGTATTCAGGTTGATGAGGTAAATGTTAGTGGCACAGGTACCCATTAACTGAATAGTTGACAGTTTTGAATTTCATCTCAGTGAGGAATGGCGTCAGGCGTAATAGCTTGGAAAAGTCAGGAGAGCAAATACCAATATTCACATTGTATTGATAAGACAAGATGGGGTTTTAGCTCAATATATTAACTGTATTCACGTTGGTGAGATCTCATAATCACCAAATAGCTCTGTGCATCTCGACAAACGCAAACTGTCTCCTCCTCACTGAATTGCCACATACTTGAACACTTCATATCTCCAACACTGTCACAGAATGTTCAATTTTATCTGCTTTTCCCAGGCAGAGGACAGGGAGCTTTTTCTCACTACCCTGACCCTCCCTGACCTCCACAAACGTAGAGGAGAAGGGGGGAGATGTGCTTGATAATGATAGAAGAAGAGCTCTTAGCCCACCCAACCGCCTGAGCACCGCACCACAACCAAACAGCTTGGCTCCCACACACGGGCTGGAACATGGCGACCTTCGTTAACCACAACAGACTCTGCATACTCTCTGTTTAAACAGTATGGAAAAGTAACGTCATGCACCCACTGCCACGGGCTGACAAACTCCACAGAAACATCCCATATCCCATAGTATAAATATTTCTCCATTGCCATAAACAAAAGAGTAGAGATGTAACGTAACAGTAACTGAAATATATATTGTGGGCTGTCATTGTATATCAAACAACAATTGCTACTTTGCTTAAAGGTCCTATATTACCCAAAAGCGACTCTTCTGAGCTTTAAACAATGTTAGAATGTTATTTCCTCCTCAGAAACATACCTGGAGTTGTGATTTTGTTTCACTCACAGATGTTTGAGTAACCCTTTATTATTAGTCTACATTATTAGTCCTTTATTATTAGTCTGTCTACATCTCCAAAACTCAAAATGCTCTGTTCCACTTTGTGATTTTTTGTTTAGTAGAGATGGGAAATTCCAAGGCTGAAATTAACCAATGTTTCTAGTGAATGTGTATGTATATTTAAAAACAGAGTGGAGCACTTCCTGTATTATCACATGACATCACAAGGTGGAATAGAGTATTTTCAGTTTGAGAAAAGAACTCTCTCATTCTCTCAATATGCCTAAATACATAAAAAGACAAACCAACTCTTAGTATGTTTTTCATGAGGAAATAACATTATAACAGATTAAAAAATAGCGTAATATGGGCGTGTAAATGCACTTTTTTCTTGCAGCAATGACTAAAAAAATAGGGAACTACACAGAGCACGATCCTTGCTTGCACGCTTCATTTCAGTGCAGACAACATTAAGAAATAACTGCTCCTATAAGTTATTTTACACCTTAATTCTTTGGATAATGACAATAATGATTCACAATAAAAGCTAAAGTTGTCATGATATTTTAAAATGAAAAAGCAGAGTATTAGCTATTCTGTACTCACAAGACTACAACTGCACAGGAAATGATTCAAAAACAACTATTTATGCAGAAAAGGAAAGGAAGGAAAACAATGTATTTATATGAAGCCTAAGACTAAACTTGTGAACCTTACTACTATAACACGGCAACAAAAAGAGTATACCAGCCCGTCAACAGCCAGATCTTTCCATGTTTGAATCTTTGGGTGGAGGGGGTATATTTGGCTTGGAGCGGCATGAGCTTCATCAAGGTTAATTGGGCTGTTGAGAGGACACGTTCTTGCAGATCATCAATCACCATCTCCATTGTTTCCGATGGAGCAGATACGAGGTCCCAGGCCCGCCCCCCTGGCCAATGACCCATCCTGTCACACGCACAAAGGCTCTTCTGGTGTTAGTATATAAATCTAGCAGGTGTCAGAGCATAGACAGTGATTAAAATGGAGTTATGAGGGATACGAACGCATCCAAGTGAGAATATGGGATTTTGGTAATTAGTGAAAGATATGAGGATGTTTCAGCGTGACCTTATGAAGAACTCAAGGAGGAGGAGGGAGCGCTGCCAGGTTTTCGGTTCATTGCACAGGTCTAATAAAATCCAAGCTAACTTTTAATGTGTGGTGGTCTAGGATGCCTTGCAATGAGGAAATGAATATGAGGATACGTCACATTGGTCGCAGAAGGACCCAGGATGCAATTTCAATAAAAGAAGCAGACTGTCAGAGTGGTTAGTGTTCTTTTTCAAGCGTTCCAACTTCTCCATATTATCCTCAAACATGTTTTAATTGGTGGGCTATTCAAGGCTTTAAAGGTGCACTGCACAACTTTTCTGGTGAAGGGTCCACTGCCTGATTGTTTCCAAGGAGATGTTATTGCTTTGACTAGAAAATGCAATGGTTATACACATTAAACATATTCATCTAGCTTTTTTTCATTACGGGTGTCTATTGTTCAAAAATACCATAATTCCTTCTGTGAATAGAGGGGACTCTCCACAGATCTTAACTGTAATGAAGCGTAGTGCTGTAACATGCTTGCCTCCCTTGTCATACATGTGATCTATACTGTGGAACATTCAAGAAAAAGAAATAACCTTTTTGGAGATAAGAAGGTGACAGTGCCTCCAATAGTAATGTCACGCAGTGCACCTTTAAGAATGATGAGAAATTAAGATAGTTACCACGGCGATTAACATGAAACTAAATTTGATATCCTTTGAGTAGGAAAAACTCCTCAAAATGTTGCAATAACAGGAAATTGAAGCCTATAAATATGTAATATTAATTCACCCTATGTAAGTGAATGGTTGTAAATATTAGGCTAATCTGCATGCCAGTTGTAATATCTTGTTATAAATGAAGAATGAATGAGCCACACTTTCATAATAGTCTAGCACAAGATATAATAATCTAATCTCAAAACCTGTTATTATAATTTAAACAGTTTCTTTTCACAGACACGACAAAACTCCCTGCTTCCTTATGCATTCAGCGCTTGCTCATTCATTCCCTAACCTCCCTCATTAAGTGCCCCCGGTCTTAAAGTGTTATTTATTAAAAGCCACGTACAACTGCTTCAAACAGCGCGTCTCAATGTCAAAGTCCAAACTTTCCAAACCTTCGCTATCCTTCTGCGCATCGCAACCAAAACAAGCCAGCAGCGCTAATGAGCACTGCTATTGTGCGCTTACAATAACAGCAGTCTGACCTCTAACCACGAGCCACACTTGGGTTGACATTTCACGCTAGCTTCACGTGAATGGGCTGATTGTTCTGCCTGATTTTGCAGCGATTGCGCTCCAGCTCCAACCACGATATAGCTACACTACTACGTCTGTGCGTGCGTATGACCTTACAGGTTCAAATCCCCTTGCAACGAGCCACAACACTACTCAACACCACGCTGCTGCTTGGCTGGAAGGCTACTCCGGGCTTGTTGTTTTGAGTGGACCCGTCAGTTTTTCGCCCTCCTCCCCTCTGTCCTCTACTCGTCTCCGGGAAATATTGCACAGTGCGCGTCTGTGTTAGCCAAATGGAGAGCTATGGGTGTTTTATATTCCAACAATTACGCACGTTTTTTGCCTTTTGTGTTACTGGCTTGGACGCATCCTTCCACGCTGCTCCACTTCTCCCAAAGCCATCCCTCGCTCTACGATCCAAGGGGGCTGGAAATAACCTTCACATGGCCAGCTATCTCTCCCCTCTCCACACACACAGACACACCGAGCACCGCTGCCTGCCCACCCGCCTGCCGCATACACAAACCCGAGCGACGCATGCCACAGCCTCGCGTCCCTGCCCGCTCGGAGGATTGACGGACAGCGCCACTCACCACTCCATGGACCAAGAACTCAAACAGTTTGCTCTTGGTGGCTTTCCTGGCTCCCCCCGCCGTGTCCTCCGTAGCCATTTGCTCGGTCCCCTCCGGTTCACTCCTTCTTTTGTCTTCCCCTCTCCCGTCTCCCAGCCTCCGGTTCCCTCCCCTGCTCCACTTTCCTAGTCTTTGTGCTCTCCTTTTCAGCACTGCCCGCCCGTCCTTCTCTTCGCTCCCCGCGCTCTCTCTCTCCTCTCCTCCCTCGCCTTGCCGTGTGTGCGCTCACAGCTCAGTCAGTCTCTCGCAGTGCTGTGTCTGGTACACTAGCTCACTTTTGGAGTTCAGGCTGCCTTTCAGGAGCCCGGCACGTCGCGGCGGAGAGGGGGGTGGGTATAGGGGGGTCTGGCACAGGCAGGGGGGTTTCAGCCAGCCCACCCTGCCGCCCGCCCGCCTCTCCTCCTACCTCCCACCCCCCCTCCTCTCGTCCTGTCTCCTCCGCTCTCCCCTCAACGCCACACAGCTGTTGCATTCCATTGGTAGATAAGCTGCGTTGGCTCGTAACGGTGAGCCTCTCAGTTGGCCATTCCGCTGCCGCCGTCGGTCCCGTCTCCCCGGTGACCAACGCAGAGGCCACGGTCAACACAACACGCGCGGCCCGGGCCCGTTCTCAGAGAGGACATCGGGCTCTTAAAGGGACCACGCAGCATGTCATTAATACACAAATACATAGACTGAAATACGGTCACATGGACGAGGTGCTGTGGGCAGGACAGACAGTGCAGCTGCAGATAGGCGCACACTGATATGGTGCGCAGTCAATATTAGAGCCATTCCTTGTGTTAAATAAAGCTGCACCATGTTGGGATTAGCAATACATTTAAAAAAACTGTTTTAAAGGTACAATCCACATGACCCATGCTTGGATAAAAGGAGAATGGGTGTGAAAGGGCATCCGAATTAAACACAAACAAACAAAACAGTGCCAAATTAATTGACTATATGCAAATAACATCATGCTAAAAATTAAACATTTCCCTCCTAAATTAACTAAATGAGGAAAAATAAAAAGTCCAAACAAAGATGTGGGCCTGCTATGATAGTTTATAGCAGTGTTTCCCAACCATGCGTACAGGGACGCCTTGGGGTACTCAAGTAGGTACCCAGGGGGTAACTGCTCAAGAATATAATGCATCTAAAATGTTCTTTGTCATACATTTGAATCCTTATGAATAAGTTTTATGAATTTTGTTTAATCAGTATCATTAAAACAAGAAAGCATGAGAATATAACGTGAGTAAACAAATTTATTATAGTAAAATATTACCCGTACACAAGATAGGGGGTGTCAGGCAATACTTAGGGGATATTTCAGACAAAAACGGTTGGGAGGATATATAAGCCTATGTAGGCCTATTGCTTCTGGATTCTCCCCTCTGGCATAGTGATTGGTCTGTGCCTCAAAAGCGGCTGGTTTCTCTTTACTGAAATGATTTCCTTCGAGCTACTCAAGCTTGAAAAATGTGATTTGATTTCCTTGAATGCTTGATTCTGAGTGCTCCCTCTCAGTCTTTCACAGAAGGCGGGTCCTGTGCACCTTGACTTCCTGTGCTTTTGAGTGGCCTTTTGACAGTGCATCTGCAGGTTAGGAGTATTTCCTCTGAGCACCTCCAGAGTTTCACCTTTCACCCAGAGGCCACTACAGTCAGTGCAGTGTGTAGTGTAACAGCAAACAACCAGGCAGACTGTAAAGCGAAAGCAACACTGGAAATGTAAAGAGACTCTTGAGATTTCTGTCTCTCTGTGACAAAGTATCAAAGTAGCCTACCAATACCGATACTATGGACTCCATGTATTTCCATGAAACTATTTTGATTATTTTGTGGATTTTAAGATGGTGGTTTAACAAAGATTGTAAAATGTAAATGTTTCTTTAAAATTTTAGATTTATCATAGAATATGTGAAATATATTGATTAGCCTACTACAGCAGATAAGGCCACATCTGGATATAATTTGTATCCATAGCCATTTATCATATCAAATCACAAAGGACCTTGCGAATAGCAGTCATAATGTCATTCTTCTGCACAAAATCAAATTAAAATAACACAATCAGACAACAGCCCCCAAAAAGGTGAAAACAACAAATGCTTCAAGGACGTTTTGCGATGGAATAAACTCAGCCAGTAACATCTAGAAGAGAGAGATTTAACTCATAACATTGTCTCATAGTCTCTCAGTCCAATTACACGGGGCTCCTGTCTTCACACCGGCCATTACCGTGAGTTAAACCATGGCCCAGTCCAGATCTGTGCCATGTCTCCTCCTCCTGCTGCAGCTAGAGGAGCAGCCCCGGTGAAATATTCATGAGGAGATTTGAATGACAAAGAGCTCAAGTGGGCCACATTCACAGCGGACTGGCTTATGGGCTTATGACACTGAGAAGTCGCACTCATCGTTTCCTCCTGCTTTTGTTTCATAGGAGTTAAACAATACAGAAGAAAGTAGATCAAAGAGACTGTGTTCAAGAGACATACAGTTTAAAACTGATGCAAAAGCAAAAAAAAAAGAGGAATTCCAGTGTTGCGACGCAGAGTTCAAGAACAGCAGGGGAATAGAAATATGCAATCACAAATCAAGCAAATCAAGATAAGTAACAATTACAAACAGACCTAACCAAACTAACTAGAATATTAGAATAGATTTAGGATACAAATACTGTGCAAGTAGAGCAATAGATCTTAAGATTATCTAATTAAAATATGTACATTTAACATAACATCCATTTAAAAGGTCACATAATATATTTCTTTCATGTCAATAAGTGTAAAAAATGTTGTCTAAATGCAATTGATTTGGTATAGTTTTGATATTAGTTGTCTGATTGAAACTCATAATTGTTACAGTTTTCCTGATAGTGTAAAATATTTTTGGTGAGTTATTTTTTCTATATTTACATAATTGCGTAGAAGTATATATAAAACCTATGAGAAAAAACAACCCAGTTCCACATTTGTAGATTGCGTGTTTGATTAATGCCTCTGTAAATCAGTGCCTTGTCCAGAGACTAATATTGAGCTATATCCACGATCTGAAATGGTCAGATTCTAAAATGGAATGGAATCTATTGCAGAGACAAGATCTGAAACATAAAAAAACAAACTCGGGTATGCACAAAAACAGCCTCCATGCTGCTCCAGTTTAGTCTCAAGGGTAACCGTCAAGATTATGTGGACAGCTGGCTACTGCGTATTTGACCCCTGGGCCAGAGGTCACGACCTTCAGAGGCCTGCTAAAAAGGAAGTGAGGCATTTAAAGCATATCATCCACTTCACATGACAGTGCGCAGAACAGGACTGGCTGTAAAATATATATTGTAAATCAAATTATCCAGGCTCATATAAGCTTCCTTCACACCTCTTTCACCAGAATGGGCTTGGAAAATGCAATGTGTAGCCCTCCCCGCTCTCTTAATGTGTGGTTAGTTTGCGTAATGATGACCCCTGCTGTATAGATTGTGTATCGCAACTGTGAGTGCTCCAATTATTAAAAGCATTGAAATACTCTAGGACAGCAACCAACAATTAAATTAGTGATTTGCAGACAAGTTAAACAAGTATTCCTATAGTATTTTGAGACTGTAAATACATTTTTGACCAATTAAAGTTTGAAATATGGAGACTGAAAGTTTGTAGAAAAAATAATGTGTAGTGTATTATTGAGGGAAATAAGAAATAGTTTATTCTACTTAGCAATTTTGATTCAGTTAAGCCACTGTCATTGTAAATTGTCATTGTCATGTGCTTTTTATTTTAGACTGTGCTGACTGTCACTGATCTCGAGCTTGTTAGGTGACAAAAAATTGGCAGCAAATTTGGTGGCAAATGTAAATACGTGATAATAATTCATATAAATATCATTTTTTAATGGAAAAAAATCTACACAATACAAGATGCTCATGTGTTATTATTAGCCAAAAAGTAAAAAAAAATAAAATAAAATAGGCCACGACAACTTTTGAGGTTTGCCTCATAGGGCCAGTTCAAGTGGTGGGGGGCAGAGGGCCTGGGGGGGCAGTCAGAGGGGTGTGGAGGGATGGAGTCAGCCCGCGAGCCCTAGTCTGATGACCCATGATTTTTATAGTCACATATTTTTCGATTCATTGTTGCTGCCCAACAGGACTCAATCAGAATACATGTGTTGCTAACTTATCAGACTATGTACAGTACTAACTTCAAGAACTTATTCAAATATTTTTAAAAATGTACTGAAATTCAAGGGAATGGAGTGTTGATTTACTGCAAGGTCAAGTGGTGATGCTTATCAGACTGCAGATATGGAGATTGTGTCATGCTTATGCAGTATGTCTGATAACATGATGTGGGAATAATAACAAAGAAATATATATCGTACCTGAGATTTTTGTTTGAGTGAGAACATAAATACACGACAGGCCTCCACTGTCTACCCAGTTTAGATCATGTCACAGAGTCACAAATAGGGGGGAGAGGAGGGGAAAGGGGATGTCAAGAGTTTCAGTAATGGCCAACAGAGGGAGCAACATGACTGAAGAGTAGGAGGCCAACTACAATTATAAAGTAATATAACAATGGGCAAAATAGGCCATACAGAACTTAGATTTTATTTTCCACTATTAAATTATACATTAAGATCCACTATTGAAGGGGTTAGGATGATAATATTCTAGGCCTGTAATATTTCATACAGATGGAAAGCCTTTAAAATAGTCATAATCGACATGCTGATTTTTATATTACAATTTCTAGGGCCTTAAATCACTATTATAAATGCTTCAAAACATTTATGGATTTTCTTAATGGACAGTTCTTATGCAGATACTGTACAATCAATACATAAGACTGCCCCCTTCCACTTCTGTGCATATGACATCATCACAATCCAAAAACATCTAATATATATTAACAACATTAATATTATTAATAACAGGATTAGGATATTACTAGTTATGCATACCTTAAGATTTTGGATTCAGCATTGGTATATTGACCGAGAGTACCACAAAATACACACATTTTACTCTTGAAATTAGTTACTATTTAGGCACTGTTTGGCTAGTATTTTGCTACTCTGAATTGCATCCAGTACAGCAAACATACTTCATGAATGGCCACTAGAGGTTGACAAACAGTAGGGCTTCTCAGTATGGCTTCTGACGCAAAAAACTACATTAACTAGAAAATAACTTGACACCAGTCAAACGTTTGGGCACACCCTCTCATTCAATATATTTTTTAATGTATTTATTATTTTATACACTTACAGACATAAATGGAATTATGTAGCAAAGAAAAAAAGGTAAATAACTAATTTGTTATACTTATATTTTACTTTGA